CTCTCTCTCTCTCTCTCTCTCTCTCAAAGGCATTTGAAGAGAAAGAGAGAGAGGAATAATAAGTAGAGGGGATAGTGAGAGAGAGGACTGAAGATTTGGCAGGCATTTATATTTGTGTTGGGAATAATAAACTGATTACTCTGGGGTTAGCTATAGTAGGGTAATGAGAGATTTGTTTAGAGAGAAACCAGTTGACAAATCCTGAATTGTTAGGCAGAAGCTCTTGGCGTTACTGAGTAAGAGTGATATTTAGGGGTCTTCAGGGTATGTTAATGAAATCACTAAAAAAATTTTTTTCAGATGCTAAGGTTTGTGTGTTCTCAGTCTTCACTGAGTCTTCATTGATAGTGTTTAAAACTGCTAGCCTGAGGCCGGGTGTGGTGGCTCACGCCTGTAATCCCAGCACTTTGGGAGGCCGAGGTGAGTGAATCACCTGAGGTCAGGAGTTCAAGACCATCCTGGCCAACATGGTGAAACCCCGTCTCTACTAAAAATACAAAAATTAGCTGGGCATGGTGGCACGCGCCTATAGTCCCAGCTACTATAGGAAGTTGAGGCAGGAGAATCGCTTGAACTGGGAGACGGACATTGCAGTGAGCCGAGATTGCATCACTGCATTCCAGCCTGGGTGGCAGAGTGAGACTCCGTCTCAAAAAATAAATAAATAAAATAAATTAAAATAAAACTGCTAGCCTGGCCTGGCACAGTGGCTCACGCCTTTAATCCCAGCACTTTGGAAGGCTAAAGTGGGCAAATTGCTTGAGCCCAGGAGTTTAAGACTAGACTGGGCAACATAGCAAGACCCTGTCTCTATACAATCAATCAATCAATCAATCAATCATAACCTGCTAGCCATTTACAAGTTTATGCTAATTTTACCTATGTTCAGTAAGCTGTAAGTACATACTATCATTTCTAAATTGTTTCTTAACATAGTGAACTGTCTTTCTAAGACTTGCTCTTTGAACACAGGTGTCCCACACATGGCTTGGCCTGTTTGATTTGTTCCTTTTCCCATAGGCATGACTCTCCAAGAATCCATGAATCTAGATGCTCTCACTAAATACATGAAACATCTTGAAGATAAATATGCAGAAATTAAACAAGCTATGTTGATAAAATATGTGCCAGCTCAGAGGAAGTCTGATTTAGATGAAGAAATGATTGTGTTATTAAAACGGCGAGATGTAGCTGAAAATCTGAACAGAAAGTTACAGTTTTGGTATGGAAGTTGATCATACGTTTTTGAAGTTTGGAGTTTTGTGTTTATTCTAATATTCCACCATTTGATTTTAGGCTCAGTATGTTATTGACGTTTTTTATCTTTATAGTCATCAAAGACTGCAGATAATTTCACAGGCACTTACTTCATGGGTAAAATCTGATATGAGCAGCCCATTTCGAGACTTTGTGGAGCAAATTCAGAAAACCAAATATTTGCAAGGTAGATTATCTATATTTTTAAATTAGTAGCAATAATGGAAGACTTTTTTTTCCCCTAGAAAGTTAGAATGGGGTTTTCTTAGGCCGAGTTAAAATAAAGCAAAAACATACTTCAGCTAGTTCTCTGTTACCCTATGGGTTCCTTCCTTCAACAGCTAACCAGCAGGTAATTAGTAAAGAACAGACTTGGTGAGCCAAAGACAGAATGCCTGAAAATGTACATCAACATAAAGAGGAAAGGGAGGAGGAGGCCACTAAGTTTTGGAAGAGGTTGATGCTGTTAGGATCTATAGCAATAAGTTGTTGGTATTAAACACATGTATGTTTATTGTTTTCTATTGATAAGTAACCTTAAATATCTTCCAGTGGTACTTTCAATATTTACAGGTGACCAAGGCATTGTTGAAGAACTAATGGAAGATGATCCAAACAGGGCAAAAGAAGCTGAAATTATGCTTCACTACATTGAAAGGCAACTATTTTAAAAGCTTTAATTTTTTCAGAATTATATTTTTTCATAGATTCTTTGCGAATAAAATACCACATTGGGAATCTAGGAGGTTTTTCAGAGGAGATAAGAGGATTATAATGTTGATATGTTTTATTTATACAGGTTAAGCATTCATAATCCGAAAATTTGAAATCTGAAATGCTCCAAAATCCAAAAAATTTTGAGCACTGACATGAGATAGTGATACCTGTGTTTTCTGATGAATCAATGTACACAAACTTTGTTTCATGCACAAAATTATTAGAAGTATTATATAAAATTACCGGCTGGGCACAGTGGCTCACGCCTGTAATCCCAACGCTTTGGGAGGCTGAGGCGGGTGAATCACAAGGTCAGGAGTTCGAGACCAGCCTGGCCAACATGGTGAAACCCCATCTCTACTAAAAATACAAAAAATTAGCTGGGCGTGGTGGCGGATGCCTGTAATGCCAGCTACTAGGGAGAATGAGGCAGGAGAATTGCTTGAACCTGGGAGACAGAGGTTGCAGTGAGCTGAGATTGTGCCACTGTACACTCTAGCCCAAGCAATGGTGCAAGACTCAAAAAAAAAAAAAAAAAAGTATTACACAAAATTACCTTCAGGCTATGTGTATATGGTATATATGAAATATAAATTTTGTGTTTAGACTTGGGTCTCATCCCCAAGATTTCTCATTATGTATATGCATATATTCTAAAATACGAAAAAATCTGAAATCCAAAACATTTCTGGTCCCAAGCATTTAGGATAAGGGAATCTCAGCCTGTATTTTTCTTACATTTCCTAACTATCAACCTGATGTTACAAAATGTTTTTGAGAATGTCTTCCTGATTCAGATTATTCTAGCCAATTCAGTCCTTTCTTTCTCATTATTTCTATCCCATGACTTATTAAGAAGGCATATTTCTCCCTAATGCTTAAGTTATTATATATAGTATATAATAGAAGATTAAAGAGATTTAAGACTGTATCCTTTTTTATACTTTGTTTACTTTTTATCAAATATTACTTTTATCAAATCTTTTCAAGTATTCATAAAAATACAGAGAATAACATTAACAAAATGTTATTCTGTGTACCAATTTAGCAAGAAGTTAACATTTTGCAGTATTTGCTTCAGCTGTTTTTGTAGAAGTTTGTTATAGTTAACATCCCGCTGTGTATCATTCCTCCTGTCTTCAATTCCTTTTCCCTCCTTTTTTCCCCACACAGCTGCTCCCTTGGTGTTTAACATGCACGTGCATTTTTAAACATTTTTAATACATAGTAAGACTATATTCTTTAAGAGGTTAATTCACAGGCTATAAGGCTTATCTGTAATGAACATATGTAATATTCCTGGTCTTTATATGTTAAACAGTTTTCAACTGTTAATTGGAAGGTTGGTATGGTAAAAAGAAGGGGGTAAAGATAATTTTGGGGAGAGCACAAAAGCTCATGTTATTTCCTTACACTGTAATGCTTCTCTGACAGTTTGATATGAGAGAAAAACCCTCATTGAGATTGAAAGTTTTATGTATTTTGCTTAATATTACTTTACTAGGTTTTCCGCCTGGGGCTCTACATTCATTTGCAGCACTATGTAACTTCTGTTTATCCTAGTTTTATTAATTGTGAGGTAAAGACTGATTTTAAGACCTTTTGCCATAGGAAGAGGAGTAGAGGCTTAAGTTA